TACAAGACAGTCTGTTAGTTAGTTAGTCCTAGCTGACATTGTAACTAGGATTGGCTATAAATACTCGTATTCTGAACTGAAAATGTAATGGAAAATATTTGTTTCTCTTACCTTCTCTGTGTGCCTCTGTCTTCTTCTCCAAGCTTTCTATGAAATCTAACATGGTATTAGAGCCATCTTCAAAGACAAACATCTGATCTGATGACAGTTTCTACTAATTCTTCTTTATCTTCTACCTGTTCATCTACACCTTCAACTACAGTTTCTTTTTCCTCACATTCACCTATCTACTTACTCTCTAATATCTGCAATCTTATTTCTCTTCAGCTTGATTCTTTCAATTATGTCTCTTGGAAATTTCAGATTTCAGCTCTGTTACGGGCTCATTCTTTATTTGATTTTCTTGATGGATCATTTCCTTGTCCATCTAAATATATACTTGATGAGGCTGGAGCTGTTACTATAGAGATCAATCCACAATATCAGCAGTGGATTATTCAAGATCAAGCTCTTATGTCGCTTGTTAATGCCACACTCTCTTCCTCTGCTATTGCACATGTTGTTGGCTATACTACATCTTAGGATGTATGGCTTGCACTGGAAAGAAGATTTTCATCTCAATCCAGAGCTAATATTCTGCAACTTAAGTCTCTACTTCAAACTATCACCAAAGGTTCAGATTCCATTGATAGAGATAAGCTTCAAGCAATTTCGGTTATAATTGAAGATGAGGATATACTATTGTATACACTCAATGGTCAACCACCTGAGTATAGTGCCTTTCGAACAGCAATTCGAACTAGATCTCAACCTCTTTCTCTGGAGGATCTTCATTCTCTGCTGAAGGCAGAAGAAATTTTTGTTTTAGCATCTTCTAAATCATCCCCAAACTTGTTCAATCCATCTGTTATGGCTGCTCCACAAGGCAAAATATATGATCCTTGTCTTAATTCTGGTTTAGGTAGAGGTTTTTCTGGTTATAAGGGTCGTGGTTCAAATTGAGGAGGCAGAAACAATTATGGGAACATATTTCATTCTCAACAATTTCGATCTAATACTGCCTCACAAAAGCCTCAAATTTATTGTCAGATCTATGGAAAGTTTGGCCACAGTGCTGTCAACTGTTATCATCGCATGAACAACGCCTATCAAGCTCCACCTCCACCTTTTCTTCCTTTCAATGCTATGACTGCTTCTTCTGAATACTCTTCTTGCAATACTCAGCCTGCTGTTTCTGACTTCTCTTCTCAGTATTCTACTATGACTACATCCACTGGTCCCTCCACTCCTAGTTACTGACTCACTGATACTGGTGCTTCACATCACCTAACCTCAAGACTTGAGGATCTTTCATACTCCTTCTTATTCTTTCAAACTCACCAACATTCTTAGGGTACCTTCTATTGCTTTCAATTTATTATCAATCAAACAATTTTGCACTGATAACAATTATCAATTCTTGTTTGATTCTAATTCTTTTTTTATTCAGGACAAAGCCACAGGGCAAATTCTCTATCAAGGCAAGAGTAATAATGGTCTATATCCTATTCATGGCCTCAGCCAATCTTCTACCTCTCCTTGTGCTTACCTTGGATCCAGAATTTCTCATCACACTTGGCATAATCGATTGGGACATCCTGTAAATCCAATTTTACATCAGATTCTTTCTACTTCCAAGTTACCACATTCTCAGTCTTCTAGGTCTGCTTGTGTCTGTGAATACTGTTTGTATGGCAAAATGGCCAAGTTACCATTTTCTATTTCTACATCTAGGTCTGCAATCCCTCTTGATACTATACACAGTGATGTCTGGGGTCCTTCTCCTTATGTATCTTTACATGGTTTTAAATACTACATCTCCTTTATTGACAGTTATAGTAGATTTACTTGGATTTTTCCATTGATTCTTAAATCTGATGCTTATTCTGGGTTTACTAAGTTTAAAACCTTTGTGGAAAAATAGTTATCACATTGCATTAATGTGTTTCACTCTGATGGGGGTGGAGAATATCTTAGCTCTTCCTTTAATAATTATCTTGGTGCTCATGACATTCTTCATGCCAAGTCATGTCCTTCCACTCCTCAGCAAAATGGCATTGCTGAGAGGAAACATCGTCACATTACTGAGACTACTCTCACTTTGTTAGCCAGACCTTCTTTGCCATATGAGTTTTGGTTTCATGCCTTTGCAACTGCTGCTTATTTGATTAATAGAATGCCTAGCAGAAACACAGGCAACAAATCCCCTTATGCACAATATAGTTCCTGATTATTCTGCTCTCAAAATATTTGGTTGTGCTTGTTATCCTTTGCTCAAGCCTTATTCTAGTCATAAACTTGAGTCTAAAACTACTCAGTGTGTGTTCCTTGGTTATCCCTTTGATTATAAGGGTTATTTGTGTCTTGATCCTCAAACTAATAGAATTTATATATCTAGACATGTTATCTTTGATGAAACCACATTTCCCTTTGCTAAATCATTTTCTTCTTCTTCTTATATTCCTCCTAATCCTAGTCATTGGTTTCCTCTCTCTACTTCTACTGGTACTTCTCACTCTTCTCTTGTGGATTCTCCCCCTTCTGTTTCATCTATACCTTCTCCTGAGTTACTTCATTTTCTTTTTTCTTATACATCAACTCCTCTATCTTCTGCTACATCTTTGTCCTTTAATTCAGAATCTGCATCCTTTACCTTTCCTATATCCTCTAGTCATATTATGTCTAATTCTTCTCCAAATCCTCCTCCACCAGTTCTACCCCAATCTCTTTCTACTCATTCTATGCAAACTAGAGCTAAATCTGGTATTTTCAAACCTAAAGCCTACATCTCTGCCACTTCAGTTGCTGAACCTACCTCTTTTACTTCTGCATCTAAATTTCTTGAGTGGAGACAGGCTATGTCTGAAGAGTTCTCTGCTTTACAAAGACAGGGAGCTTGGACATTGGTTCCTCCTTCTAACCATTCTCCTATTGGTTGTAAATGGGTTTTCAGAATCAAACACAATTTTGATGGCACAGTTTCTAGGTATAAAGCCAGGTTGGTGGCCAAAGGGTTTCATCAAGAGCATGGAGTTGATTATCTTGAAACCTTCAGTCCAGTGGTTAAACATGCTACAGTTAAGCTTATTCTTGCTCTTGCTACTAAGTTCCATTGGTCTTTACACCAACTTGATGTCAAAAATGCATTTTTGCATGGAGATCTTCATGAAGAGGTTTATATGACTCAACCTCCAGGATTTCTTGATCCTTTGACTCCTCATTATGTTTGTAAATTGCACAAATCTCTCTATGGGCTTAAACAAGCTCCTAGAGCTTGGTTTGAGAAATTTACCACTCATCTTTCTTCTTACTCCTTTTCTGCTTCTCCTACTGATCCTTCTCTCTTTATTAGAACTGTTAAAGGATCTCTTACTATTCTTTTGCTCTATGTGGATGACATAATCATCACTGGTAATGATCCTCTCTATATTTCTTCTCTTAAGACAAATCTTAATAAATCTTTTGAGATGACGGATCTTGATCCTTTGCATTTCTTTCTTGGATTGGAAATTCAGCACATAGCCACAGGATTGTTTAGTAGTTAGCAAAAATACACTACTGATCTTCTTCAAAAGGCCAACATGACTGTCTGCAAGCCATGCAAGACTCCCTGCGCTGCCTCTTCTAGACTTGGCAAAACTGATGGCTCTCCTCGGGCTGATCCATCTTTATACAGAAGCATTGTTGGTTCCTTGCAGTATCTCACTTTTACTAGACCAGATATTACCTTTTTAGTTAATCATGTTTGTCAATATATGAGCTCTCATACATATGTTCATTTTGCAACAGTCAAGAGAATTCTGTGATATCTCAAGGGTACTTCTCATTTTGGTCTCTCTTACAGACCTAGTTCTCTTACTCTATCAGCCTTTACAGAAGCTGATTGGGTAGGAGATCCCAATGACAGAAGGTCTACTACATGATGTCTTCTTTTCCTTGGAGATAATCCCATTCATTGGTCTACAAAGAAACAGAGTACTGTATCTAGATCTTCTACTGAGACTGAATTTCGAGCACTTGCTCAAACCACTGTTGAGCTTAAATGGTTGCAACTGCTTTTACAGAGTTTGCAACTTTCTCTATCTCACACTCCCACTCTTTGGTGTGACAACATTTCAACTTTATCACTTGCTTCTAAACCCATGTTTCATGCCAGAACTAAACATATAGAGATAGACTTTCATTTCATTCGAGAGAAGGTGGCAAATAAATCTCTAACTGTTCAGTATATCTCCACCAAGGATCAATTGGCTGATGTCTTCACCAAAGGACTATCTTCTGCTTGTTTTTTGCTTCTAAGGGACAAACTGCTGGTTGGTCCCCCACCATCAGTTTGAGGGGGTGTATTATACAATACCAGCACTACACACAAGTATTTCCCTCATATCAGCTACTGTCGTGTGACTGCATTGGAGTCGGTTGCTGAAGCCACTTGCCTACAAGACAGTCTGTTAGTTAGTTAGTCCTAGCTGGTATTGTAACTAGGATTGGTTATAAATACTTGTATTCCGAACTGAAAATGTAATTAAAAATATTTGTTTCTCTTACCTTCTCTGTGTGATCTAACAATCACATCCATAATTAACTTCAGATGTAGTCATTTCAATCACCATTGCGATCATGTAAGATGGTTGTTTGGCGATGATAATTTGATGCTTCTATTGGTTGATCCCATAGACGATTTAACATGATTTGAGGTAAGGTTATTGTCTTTGGGTGATTTTTACAGATTTTGGTTTTGCGCAAGTCAAAGTTCAACTCAACTATCTAACCTGTGGACCACTCACTTTGATTCCTTCCAAAACCAAAAGTCGGTACTATGTTTTCTATTAGTTCACGTTACGCAGTATTAAATTCCTCTGCAACACGTAGCTTTCTCTTCTGAGCTACCTTTGTTAGCTTGCTTTTATATTAAGTCCATAGTCTTGAGCCCCTTACATTCTTTCAGTATTGCCAACAAAATGGAGTTTTCTTGTTTGAATTCCAGGTGTTTCTCATCAAGTATCCTCCTTGGGAGTCTTCTGTTTGTCATGATCTCAGGTTTTGAATCAGCAACTTTTAGTAATGAGACAGATGGTCAAGCTTTGCTCGACTTCAAGAATCGGATAACTCAGGATCCGCTTCAAATTATGAGCTCATGGAATGATTCTCTTCATTTCTGCAAGTGGGTAGGTGTTACATGCAGTCCCTCCGGTGAGAGAGTCATGATTCTGAACTTGGAGTCACAAAGGTTGGTTGGCTCCATACCACCCTCCATAGGCAACCTGACATTTCTAACTGGCATCAACCTTCGAAACAATAGCTTCAATGGTGCAATTCCGCAAGAAATGGGACGCTTAATACACCTACAACACCTCAATTTCACATACAATTCCTTTGTTGGACGTATTCCGACTAATATCACTCATTGCACAGAACTTACAGTGCTTGATTTAGTATATAATGAGCTTGTTGGGCTGATTCCAGACCAGCTCAGCTCACTGTCAAAATTGTTATTATTGGCTCTTGGCGGCAACCATCTTACAGGCGGCATCCCAGCTTGGGTAGGGAACTTTTCCTCTCTTCTGCGTATTTCACTAGCCCTGAACAATCTTGAAGGAAATATTCCTCATGAATTGGGAAACCTTTCGAGCCTTAAATTTTTTCAAGTTTATGGAAATGAGCTATCTGGTACGATTCCTCCTTCAATTTACAATATTTCATCAATTTACTACTTTTCTGTTGCTCAGAACCAGTTACACGGCCAACTCCCATCAAATGTTGGCTTCACTCTTTCCAATCTTGAGGTATTTGCCGGGGGTGTAAACAATTTCACTGGCCCAATTCCAGTTTCATTATCAAATGCTTCCAGCCTTCAAGTGCTCGATTTCGCTGAAAACAGTCTTACTGGGACTGTGCCAACGAATCTTGGAAGGTTACAAGTTATATACAGAATTAACTTTGATGATAATATTCTAGGAAAGGGGGATATTGGCGACCTGCTGACTTTCTTGGGAAATTGCACTAGACTGGAGGTGTTGGGCTTGGCTAGAAATCAATTTGGAGGCGAGCTGCCCAACTCCATAGCTAACCTTTCAACCAGCCTCAAAAGACTCACTCTTGGGTCCAATCAATTACATGGAAACATTCCCAACGAAATTGGGAACCTTTTCAACTTGACACTTCTAGGCCTGGAAGGGAACTTTCTAACTGGCAAAGTCCCTGATGCTGTGGGAAAACTTCAACCGTTAGGGGTCCTGGGTTTGAATGTTAACAATTTGTCTGGGCCAATTCCATCCTCTCTTGGTAACTTAACATCATTAATCAAGCTCTGGATGGAGGAGAATGGACTAGAAGGAACCATTCCTCCGAGCCTTGGAAAATGCCTAAACCTGGAGCAGTTGAACATTAGTAGTAACAAACTGAGTGGCACAATACCGAAAGAGGTCTTTGGTATCTCTTCCCTTTCCATTTCTTTGACAATGTCTCATAACTTTTTGACTGGTTCCCTGCCTATGGAAGTTGGCAAGTTGAGAAACCTCATGGAGCTAGATGTTTCAGATAACAGATTATCAGGTGAAATTCCCAGCACCCTCAGCACCTGTCTTAGTTTGGAGCGCCTGCTTGTGAAGAATAATTTGCTTCAAGGAACCATTCCTGAATCTTTGAAAACATTGAGAGGGCTACAAGTGATTGATTTTTCACATAATAACTTTTCTGGACAGATTCCAGAATTTTTGGGAAAGCTTTCTTCTCTCAAGAAACTCGATCTTTCATTCAATAATTTCAATGGCGAAGTGTCAAGGGAAGGCATCTTTGCAAATGCTAGTGCAATTTCCATCCTGGAAAATGATGAATTATGTGGAGGTGTCCCGGAACTACATTTGCCTGCATGCTCTCAAGATAACTCCCACTCATCAGCAAAACTCCTTTCCCTGCAAGTAGTAATCCCAGTAACTGTATTGATACTTATAGTAATATTGTTGTGTTCTTTTGCTGCTTGGCGTATGATAAAGAAGCCGAAAACAGAACTTTTAACAGCATCCTCCACCACGGATTGGCAATCAGGTATTTCGTATCCAGAAATTATTAAATCAACAAATGGATTTTCAATCGACAATTTGATCGGTTCTGGCAGTTTTGGCTCTGTCTACAAAGGAGTTTTATCTGGTGATGGTTCAGTGGTGGCAATAAAAGTATTAAACCTTGAACAACAAGGAGCTTCCAAGAGTTTCATACATGAATGCAAAGCTCTGAAAAGTATAAGGCACCGTAACCTCCTCAAGATCATCACTGCCTGTTCAAGCGTCGATTATCAAGGTAATGACTTCAAATGTCTAATTTTCGAGTTCATGTCCAATGGAAGCCTAGACTTTTGGCTGCATCCAAACGATGGTGAGCAGCGTAATACCAAGAATTTGAGCATCATTCAGAGACTAAACATAGCTATTGATGTTGCCTCTGCATTGGATTATCTCCATCACCATTGTGAAACACCAATTGTTCATTGTGATCTAAAGCCAAGTAATGTACTCCTTGATGAGGATATGACGGCTCATGTTGGTGACTTTGGATTGGCAAGATTCCTACTGGAAACACCAAACAATCCCTCCAAAAATCAGACCATGTCAATTGGGCTAAAGGGTTCTGTCGGGTACATACCTCCAGGTAGGTTTTCCATCGATTTTACTTGGTCTTTATTTTTGGTTACCTTGACTGTATCTATAATATTAAGGTTTCTGCAAAGTTACCTGACTAGTTAAAATAGAGGTTTCTCCAAACAAGAACCAATTGTGTCTAAATCCCATGTGCCTGCAGAATTTAAAGAGGCAGCTTTGTGTGACCAACACTAGATCATCTTTTTGCATTGCCTTTGGAATTCCTAAACTACAATAGATTAACTTTTTGCATTTCCTTTGGAATTCGATTATATGACGCAATAGGATTAGTTACAATTCTATTGTAGTTAAGTTACAACGCAAAACATCGGTTAGGACTCAACGACTCACGACTCAGAAAATGTTAGGAAGGATTGGTTCTAACATTTGTCTGAGTTGTAACTTTCATTATGATAACAAAATATAAATTTTTGATACCATAGTCTTCCCTTGAAAGTCTATATGGTTCAATAACCTCATGAAAGTTACTGTGAAATTGTAGAGTACGGTATGGGTGGCCAAGTCTCCACACTGGGTGATGTTTACAGCTATGGTATGCTCTTGCTAGAGATATTCACCGGTAAAAGACCAACAGATGACATCTTCACAGATGGTCTAAACCTTCCCCAGTTTGTGGCAATGGCTTTGCCAGAAAATGTCATGAAGGTAGCAGACCCGTCATTGCTCTTGGCTGAAGAAGAAGATAACTTAGACAAGAATGAAGGCCAGGAAGAAAAAAAGGCAATAATCAAGGATGACGATCCCCAATGCAGTTCTACTAAAAATCAAATGGTGGAATGCTTGGTATCGGTGATGAAAATTGGACTTTCATGCTCTACTCCATCACCAAGGGAGCGACTACAGATGACCGTCGTTGTGAACAAACTGCAGAAGATCAAGGACTCCTTTCTAGGATTTTGGAAGAGTAACGGGAAAGGAGTATGAGTAAGCATCACCAAATATGCTTGTTTTATTCTTATCGTGTTCTTTGTTTTTGTTTTTTATTTATCTCAAGAACTCCCCAATGAGCTGAATTGATTCTGAGACAGTTTACGGTCCTGATAGTAGCATAGCTAAAACCAAATCACTTAAATAGGCACTCATTCTATTGTTGATAAGAAGTGTTGGGATTTAATATGCTTTAAACTCACATACAAATACACATAATTGCAAAACAAATCAAGAACATCAAACAATGAAAAACAAGACACACAGATTTTACGTGGTTTAGTAATTTGCTTATATCCACGAAGATGCAGGGATTTTATTATTGAGAATGAGGAATACAGAGAACGGCTGTTCAATGCACATAAAACCTTAATCACCAAAATAACATGTTTTATGTGTCCTGTGCACCGGTTACAAAACAGACCAAAAAAAATTTTCCCGGGGCATTGTCCCTAGACCCCATGAGACTTGTCCATAAACATTATGACTTGGCCCTATTGGCCTAAGCCTCCACTCCACGAACTAAACCTCATAAAATTTTTCATTAAAAAATCAGGCAACATTATTTCACATCGAGTCATCATTTGGATCAACGCAAACTAGACTCCACCAACAAACCCAACAAGAAACATTGATGGGCTTATGATCACAATGAACAATGGGTGCTTCATATTCATGTTGAAGATAATGCAACCTGGAAGCCACATTAATTCGTGTCAAAATTCTAACTTCAAATCATATTCACCATCTTTATGCAACTATCATTGTCCAGTTCCTTTCGGCATAAATCGTGAACAAGAGTGCTTTAATCGCCTTGAAAATATGTACGTGAAAAAGGCTGTAATGATACTTTGGTTTCAGTTTCGATCATGTCTCGAGATAGGGTGAAATTTCTACATGAAGAATACGGATACAATTACAGGAGAGTACTGAACATCATGTTTAGCAGACCTACTTACATTGGTGTACAATGATCTCTGTCACCAGATGGCATGGGAACATATTAGGCTTTAAAGGTAAAGCGTAATTTGTGGAGTAACAAATTTGAAGTACATTTTACTCGCAGCGGAACGACTGGAGGAACCTCCGAGCCTTATGCTCCTGATATGAAAGAAGAAAAATGAAATCAATCAGACTCTAGCAAATTATGCCTTACATTAACTAAAGTTAAACAGGTGACTTGAATCAAGATTTATGTCGAATCCACAAGACAATGCCTATCTAAATCAGTGAATCTAATATTGTTATCCTCTGTAGAAGTACTATAGCCTTGAGAATCTATCCGGCGTTCATGGGGTTGGGGTTGGGATTGGGCCTTTGTCTCTATCTCTGGCTTTGTATTTGTCTCTGTCTCTGGATCAAATGACTTGATCTGCCCCAAACTCTTTTTTAATGTCCATTCATCAAACAGACCCATAGAAGACTAAGTGTCGGCTAAGTGAATGACAACTCCATAATACTTTCTAATCTTTGAAATTAAAATTGGAAATGAGAAACTTCGTTGCTTATCTGGGAGCTCATGCGCCAAACTAATATCATCAATTTTACACATGGGAGATCTATACATTCCACCTTCCCAATGACATAAAGGAGATGAGCTTTGTCAAGCTCAAAATCATAGAAAAATGTTCTCTCATATTAATATAGTATGTCACTATACAGTTTAAAATCCTACAAGTGGAAGTGAGGTCTCTCATGGATATTTGCGTAAATATCCTTACTAATGTATCATAAGCTTTATTGTCCTTTTGTATATTAACTATGAAATTCCACTTTCAAAAACCAAAAAATGAGTATAGTTCACATTTGTCATCTTATCTAGTAAGCACCACCCTCCAGTAACAAAGACCTATAACAAAAGAGACTATCATACGAATCTTTACATTCTCTATTGAAGAAACATGTATTTGGACTTGATTTAGAATTTATTGGGTTAGATGAATCACGGAAATTTACAAAATTTGGAAGATTTGAGGAGGGATCAACTGACTTTACACGATTGGAGGCATGAACAACATTTGAAGGTTTTGTACAATTGGAGGCATCACCTGTATATTCTTCCTTTGTCCAATTCCACTATTGTTATCTGCTTTTGGCCGATACTTCTTACGTAGTGCTTTTACAATTTCCCCATCTGCCATCCTCTTCTTGTTTCCCTAATTGTGCCCCGGCCATTGACATTGTCAAAATATGATCAGAAGCCCGTTATCACTGTGGTAGCTGTCTATGTTTCAAGATAGGCAACCATTTTATTTTGAAGCTCATCAAGAAAGGATGTGCACATGCTTCTAGCAATAACAATAACAAAATCTAGTCACAAAAAAAAAAAAACAATGGCAAACATAAAGCTAGGCTTAAAAATATTTTAACAACACAATAATTGGGGTGGGCGAGAAAAAGTAAACGGAACAAAAGAGTATGAGACTTTAAATGGAAATCTATCCCCTAGAGAAAAAAAATTGTACCCCAATAACAATTTTTAATTGAAATTTGACTAAGGAACAAAATCTTGGAGATTGACTGTGGAAATAAAAATTTCTTGATCAACGAATGAACTTAGAAAGGAGATCAATGAGAGACAACATTTTCACTTAAATCCACAAATACTATAGGAACAACTTATGCATCATTCCTTCAATGAGGGCAAGCAAGTCTCTTATTCAATTCATAGGCCTTCGTGAATGTTCTCACATTCTCTTTGGCCATTTATTGATTCCCTTCGATTCAAGACATATCTCGCCCCAACTATGTAGTCATTGCAACTGATAAAATCCTATCATGACGATTCTATACTCTTTTCAAATATTAAGATGTGTGTATTTTTTTGCTTAGCATGCTTTTCCAAATACTCAAGTGTGCTATGAAAATCGGGATTACTACTTGTTGCTAACATATGTACATAAGAAGATTTTATATACACACCCACGCCCACACCCACACCCACACCATACCCAATACTCATCTCGAGTCCATGTAACACAACCATGAAGAGGTAAACCAAGCCCCACCCTCACACAGAAACCACCACCAATACCAAAATCAAAAAAAAAAAAGAAAAAAAAAACAGAGTAAGTATTACAATTTGTGCATTTGTAAGCATGTTTCCTCCATGAGAGCCATTAACAAGAAAAGTCATGCAAAGACAAATGGAAGCACATGTATACACATTAAATAGGATTTATTATGTTAATTCAACAATTTAACATTTGCTCCATCAAATCCATCAAAATAGTTAAGCTGTGATACATTACAAAATAAAACAAGGGGCATACCCCCCAATCAAACATAATAAATCTACACAGATATTAGTTTTAGCTATACTCATATGGTATTCATATTTAAACAAGAAAATAAATATGGAATAATTCACAAATAAATGTAAATTCAAAAGTAGAGATGAGCCAGTTCTCAATTTCATATTTCGCAGATCACCATGCAAAAATCAATACAAATTCAACAAGGTTTACAATCAAGTACCTGGCTCACAAATCAAAAACAAAAAATTTGAAGCAATCCATACACAAATATGTATATCAACATACACACCCAATCATATATACAATCAAGTACCCAATTCACACACACTCATTGACTCACACAGTTGCACACTCTACAGAGAGGGAGAGACAGACACACATATACACACTTAGACTTGACAAGCACACACACACACACACACACACGCACACACACAAAAACACACACATGGAGAGATGCACATATAGTCACATACTCACACTCAGACTTGACGCGCACACACAAAGCCACGCACATACACGCACTGACGCTCAAACTCAAAGTCATAGACGAGCAGACAGAGAGTCATATATTATAGAATACATATAGTGATACACTTACAGTGACAGATTTGGGACTTGGGAGTAATAGATCAACAATTTGATTGTGCAAAGTTGCGAACTGGCAGTGTGATGAATTAGGGTTAGGGTTAGGGTTTGAGTTCTTTCAAGATGGAAGACTGATTGGGTAAGAGTAGATGAAAGTAAAAAGGTTTTTGAGTTAGAGTTTGGTAAGGATGCATGATCCAATTGATCGAGGTTGGTTGGCTATGATCGACCTGAATGTTTGAAGACAATGCCTTGCAGCTTCGCCTCAAAAGTTGTAAACACAACTGTAGGTTGTTAAGTAATTAGTATATCTGGGTAGAGTCCAAGGTCAATCCACTGGAAGATGGGAATTTCAGAGTCTAACCAAGGATCAATAAAAAAATATGTGATTGTTTAAAAGAGTGATATGGTAATTGAAATATAGAACAAATAAATTAAAATTGATAAGGAAAAAATGATTTGGGAAAAAAATATTAAGAGGGTGTTGGGCAGATAAATCAAAAGTTCATCCTATATATGCAAACACTTCTTAAAGAAATAAGATTGTTTGATGTCCAAAAAAATTTGGACTCATCAAACAATGCATCTTCAAGATGTTCATTCTAGACAAGTCTCTTAGGGGAGCTTCTCACAACCATCATATTTACACTTCTCATGAAGTGATTTTTAATTTCACATTTTTGCCAATATTAACCTTAATTTTTATAATTAAATATTTGTTTTAGCATTGCTTCATGGAAAATTTATATATCTCATATTATAAGATGGAAAAAAAAAAAGATATATCGTACTGGAACATTAGTTGTAGATAAACATTATTAGCTAGTCGTAGACAGATATGCCTAGTTGCAGATAGATATTGGTTCAAAAGCACTACTAAAATACACTTTTACCAATCAGTTAGGTATTTTAAAAAGTCTTCTTAAAAAATTCATTACTTTGAGAAGTTACAACAAACACAACCTAAGGTATTGGGTACTATTTCAAGAACACTTAGATAACAAATCAATCATAGTTTTCAATCTCAATTGGGAATCAACTCGAGAGTGAACCCAATTGGAGGATTTGTCAATAATTAAT